CGCATATCCCATTATCAAGAAGTGTATCTACAGCTTCTTGTACTAACTTTTCCTAACACATCACTGATTTTAATTAGTTGATAGTTTATATTAGTATTAATTGAGAATTTTGTGAGAGATTTTTGGGAAAGGTTTCATTCACGCCTAATCCATGTCGAGTAGACCCTGTCCTTGTGAGAAGTGAGAATTATTAATTCATGAGTAGTAGGGAGAGACTTATGTCACCAAAAATCGAGACTAAAGCAAATTTAACAAATAATATAAAGAATCAAGAAGAAAACAATGAGACAAAAAACCTAGTTACTGCAAAGAACCACAACAAATACAATGATATGTTAAACAAACAATGGAAAATTTGAAATAAAAAAAAAAACCCATAATAAAAATAACCAAGTAATAAGGATCTACAAATTTCACCCGCCCCCAAATTCTAGTCAATAAATTAAAACATTAGCACTTCTAGAGAAAACACGTAACCAAAATAGATAAACAAATACCTTAAAAACAATATCATTTAGCTTAAAAACTAAACAAAGAAATATCAACTATAAAAATAAAAATGTACAAATTTTTTAGGATTAAAAATAAAATATGTATCGTTTCGAATTAAACAACCAAAAGAGGAAAAAATATCTACTAAAAGGAATATACGGATCTCACCCCTGAACCCAAAATCTAGTCATTGAATTAAGATATTAATTCAATGAAGCCAATAAAATTATTTATCGTTTTGAATCAAACAACCAAAAGAGGAAATAAAATCAACTACTAAATAAGGATATACGGATCTAACCCCTGACCCCAAAATCTAGTCATTGAATTAAGACCTCGTTACAACACAAAATACAAAGAAACAAGACAAAAAAAAATGATACATAAAATACCTTAAGCTTAAAATTGAAAAGAAACACCAATCCATTAAGTCAGCAAAATTGTGATGAATTTAAAATGAAAAAAAAAAGTCTGAAGGACAATTTACAGATCTTTGAAGATCAACACACCCCTTGCCCCAAAGTCTTGTCATGGAGTTAAAATCGAAATATTGCCAAATATTGCAGAGAAACGAGATGCATAGAAAAAAATCTTAAAACACATAACCACGAATATCCTAGTGCCAGATAATGTAAAGAACCACAACAAATAAAATAGTACGGTTAAAAAAATTGGCCATCAAAATCTTTTTGGATTAAAAATTTAAAAAGAATTATCAACTAAAAGATTAAACAAATTCCAGATAATTTCCAATAAAAAACAAATTGTAATAAAAATGATCAGTTAATGTGGATCTACAGATTTCACTCATTGCCTCCAAATACTATTCAATAAATAAAAACATAAGTTATTGTAGACAAAATACGCAACCAAGAATGATAAATGAATACCTTAAAAAACTGAAGCAATGAATATCTTTAGGCTTTAAAACTAAACAAAGAATATCAACTATATAAACAAAAATGTACTAATTAGGCTAACAAAAATGTACTAATTAGGCTAACAAAAATGTACCAAATGTTTCGAACTATAAACATAAAAATATACCAATTAGGTCAATAAAATTATGTATCGTTTCGAATCAAACAACCAAAAGAGGAAATATAATACACCACTGAATGTAGATATACAAATTTCACCCGACCCCAAAATGTAGTCATTGAATTGAGACCTCGTTATAACAGATATTATAAAAAATCAAAACGGAAAATATAATATCTAAAAAACCTACTTATGCAAACTATTAGGCTTAAAAATTAAAAAAAAAACACAAATCCATTAAGTCAAAAAATTATGAGAAATTTAAAAGGAAACAAAAAAAAATCTGAAGAAAAATTGACAGATCATTGGAGATCGACAGATTTTACTCCTTGCCCCAACGTCTAGTCATTGAGTTAAAATCAAAATATTGCCAAATAATGCAGAGAACTAGGATGCATAAGCAAAAAATTTAAAACACATAACCACAAATATCTTAACACCAGATAATGCAAAGTACCACAACAAATAAAATGGATTGTTAAAAAACTCGACCATGAATATATTTTTAGCTTAAAATTTTAAAAAAGAATGCCAACTAAAAAATAAAACAAGCTATGTATAATTTCTAGTAAAAAAAAAAAATTAATAGGAAAAAATGATCAGTTAAAAGGGGATCTATAGATTTCATCCCTGCCCCCAAATTCTAATAAATAAATTAAAACATAAGTTATTTTAGAAAACACACGTAACCAAGAAAGATAAACGAATACCTTAAAAATCTACAATAATGAATATCCTTAAGATTAAAAACCAAACAAAAAATGTCAACTATATAATTAAAAAAGTTCCATTTAGGCCAACAAAAATGTACCAATTTTTTGGGACTACAAAAAATAAAAACGTACCAATTAGGCCAATAAAATTATCTATCGTTTCTAATCAAACAACCAAAAGATGAAATAAAACCTCGTGATAAGAAATAATACAAAGAATCAAGACAGGAAAAACAGTACATAAAAAACTTAGTTATGCAAACTCTTAGGCTTAAAAATTAAAAATATATACTAATCAATTAAGTCAGAAAAACTACGAGGAATTTAAAATGAAACTAAAAAAATCTGAAGGAAAATTGAAAGATCATTGGGGATCGACAGATTTCACCCCTTGCCCCAAAGTCTAGTAATTGAGATAGAACCAAAACATTGTCAAATAATGTAGAGAACCAAGATGCATAGACGAAAATCTTAAAACATATAACCATAAATGTCCTAGTACCAAATACTGTAAAGAACCACAACAAATAAAATACTACCTTAAAAAACTCGACTACGAAGATCTTTTTAGGTTAAAAGTTTAAAAAGAATTACCAACTAAAAGATTAAACAAACTATGGATAATTTCTAATTAAAAAAAGAACAATGGTAGGAAAAATGACCTGTTAATAAGGATCTATAGATTTCACCCTTCCCTCAAATTCTAGTAAATAAATTCAAACATAAGTTGTTGTAGACAAAACACATAACCAAGAAAGATAAACGAATACCTTAAAAAACCATAAGAGCAATTAATCGACTTCGGCATTAAAACTAAACAAAGAATATCAACTATAGAAATAAAAATGTATCAATTATGCTAACAGAATGTACCATTTTTTTAGGACTATAAAAATAAAAATATATCAATTCGCGACCAGTAAAATTACGTATTATTTCGAATCAAACAGCCAAAAGAGAGAATAAAAATCAACTATTTGATCTTACCCCTGACCCCAAATTTGATAAAACCTTTCAACCAGTTCATCCTACTTCTCTAGACACCTTATTAAACTGGTTGTGTGCCAAATGAAAGGGCATGGAAAAAAGCTTGTTTTAAATGCCATAAGGTTGTGACCCTTACCTGCAATAAACTCAAATAATTGAATGCATGAAATTGCCAACCAAGGGGCCTCCAACAAATATTGCAAGCTGCATTTCATTTTTTTTCTATCAGCTATTTCCATTCATTCAACCTATGACATATATAATGTATTAAACAAATAAACTCTTTCAAGATGCCCCGATACAAGCTAATCTAATGATTCAGAGACTAAACTTCATTTAATTTAATTGGGTTTCCATCCCAGGACTGTGGACTAAAAGATAGAGCCAAAAACATCTGAAAATTGGAATTAGTTTCCTATATATCACCAGAATTGGTAAAGTATATCTAATATTGAATCCAAATATTGGCATAAATTTGAGGGAAACTAAGACTTTTGGCCATTCGCCAAGACACCTTACAAGGTTTTTACCAGAAAGCCAGAAAAGCCCCAGGAACGAGCCTTTTCAAAATCCAAGGATTCAAACTAATAGACTTGTTACGTACCTTTGTGAAGAAACTTACAACCGCCACATGCTAGAGGCTTGGATGTAAGAGTGCAACAGTAGACAT